ACTATTCTCTTCAAAATCATTATAATAATATGTTCTTTTGTAACACAGATCCTAAACATTACATATGTAATATTGTCTCGACCACTATTTCACATAGCTCGTATGTATCGCTTATCCTATTATATTTGGGTTTACTCCCTTGTAAAAAATTATAACATTAAAATATACTTTACAAGTACTTTGCTTTAATTCTATACGTAAAATTTGTACACAATCTCTTTTCCCCCGGAGCGTTGACCAAGTGACTATTGGATTACTATGATTAGACATATAATGTTGTAACGTTGGATTAATTGAAGTAAAAACGTGCCTATCAAACCACACATTACGTGGGTTAACTAACCGAAATATCATTGGCTACGGGTACAGTCGCAGGTACACATTACGACCCAAGTTCATGTTATTATACCGAACCCTCAGATCAGATTACTTTCTTATACATAATATAATCGTGGGTAATCGGCCGAATCACCTCGTGTGTAATAATATGTATGTGTACATGTACTAATTTCGTTGGAGTGTAGGTAAAACGCTAAATAGGTATTTGGATACAAAACGTCTTCGGGGGGCGACGCGTTTATACCATTACAAGATAATCTACCTCCCGTGGCGGTCTCGTCTCCCATCGCAGCCGTTCTATATAATATTGTCGTCCTAATTAGATTGGAAAGGCCGAAAATACCACCACCAGTTTTTCACGTGGGAGGCCGTCATAATCGTTATACTTCCTAACCCGAAAATTGGCGAAAGCGTAAGGTAAAAATAAAATAAAAAAATCGGTAATATAGAGACCCCGTTCGGTATTTTTATTGTTATTATTATTATTTTTGTTTTTTTTTGTTCTCGTTATTGTATGATTATCGTTTTGTTTGTTCTTCTTCTCGAGAAAATAAATAAAAATACCTAGCGATTGCTTGGCGGCATTGGTCGACACAGAACAAAAATTAAGGGTCTCGTCCGTTTGCCAAAGAGGGTGGGAAGTAGGGGGGATGACGGGTGGGTGGTTAGAGAAGTGCACATACTCATTAATAACGATGCGTCCCGATTTTTCCAGTCGTCGTCCCACTATGTTATTATGTATACCGCACCGGCGGTATACAATATAGAGTCATCGAAATTGTTTCTGACATGGCGGGCGGCGATGGAAGCAGCAAAAACGAATTAAGTGATAACCCCCCCCCCCTCCCCCTCCTTCACTCTAGATTGGTCATAACTGGACGAAGACGCCGCAACATCTCTACAATAGGACCACCGTAGAAGTAAGATGTGTGTGTTGTGCTATCAGCCACCGACCGCTATACGTGAAAACGATGAACAAAAGATGGGTAGTAAAAAAAAAAAAAAATCGAAAAATACACATTATTTACTTTTTTGTTTTTCGATTGTTTGAGATAATTGAATTATGCGCAGCCGCGAAGGATTTCTTGTTAGCGTCGAAGAAAAAAAATACTATTCATATTGTATGAAGATACGAAATGCTTAGTCGGGTGCCATCTGTAAATATAATATATTATTATGTATAGTATATAATACGTTATTTAGAAACCGTTTACATAATTTTATTGTTTTTTGTTCGTTTTGTCGTATCCGGGGTCTTTTCTCAATTCTCGTGATGATTTATTATTATTATAATAATGTTATATTATCAGGTATATAGGCGATACAGCAACTGAGAAATAAATCCGTCCCGCTTGCGCAGTCGCTGCGTTTTATAATAAAATAGCATTTTACTTAAGGGTTGGACTGAGATCACTCGACTAAATATAATTAAAAATAATTATTATTATTATACTGCCGACTCTTGTTGTAAAATAATTGTTTTATAATCATTTTATTCAACTATACCTATTTATCGCTTTCGTGAAATTTGACGATCAAAACTTGACTTACTGATTCATATATTTAGACGTTTCAGAGACAAAGTATTTCGAGTAGGTAGGATATTTTTAAAGGGTTAAACTTTAAAGAACATACACTTTGAGTTGAGAACAGATTAGTTACGTTAAACTATTATTTTATGTAACTTGTAATGAAGCCTTTGCGGCTTTGTTATTTTCTATTATAATTACAGTGGCGCCACGTAGTTGTCCGACGCCTCGAAATTTGTAGCGATGACATTGAATAATAATATTATAATGTCAGTAGCGGATTTGGAGGCCCTTGACCGATGACAATATTATATAGCTCTGACAAAACGGACTCTTCAATAGGACAGAATCGTCAGCTAACAATTGAAAACTGTGGATACATTCTCCCTTTCTCTCTCTTTATTAAAAGTAATTATTTTTGATAAATGTGTTGTGACTATACGACAAAAATCTATCACAAATATTGTCAATTGATGGCAAACTAATGGAAAAAACAATTATTATTTTATGTGCTATTTTTATGGTATGAGCATAACTATTTGGTTATTTTTCAATATTTAACATTATTATGCAATATATTATATGTATATGAGTATATGTGTGTGTACCTATGCGTTTAATATAATACATTTTAGTTTATCATTACATTTTAAATTGACTGCATAGTAACGTTATTTAGTGGAAAAATATTCGTATTTGTAATATAACCATATATTAAATATTAAAAATTCTAATAGATTAGCGACGGCTATGAATTTATGGTAAATTATTATTTGGGCGCAGGTGAGTTTTCTAGTAGAAAAAAAACATCGTTTATAAATTATTATCATTGGCGCCGAGTAAATAACGTTTTAAATTTATAACGCCCAGCCAATTTTTTACGGTCGTACTCACCACTGCTGGGTTAGGTATACAAAGATAGGGTTTTTGATTTTTTTTATTATTTGTTTTTAATATTATATTATTACAGGTAGGTACTCTCGACCGTTTATGTTAATATGTTTTTACCCGTCAACAACGACAGTTTTCAATAAAACTATATTACAATATATTATATACACATAAACGTAAATAAACGGGTGTTTGGAAATACCTTAAAAAAATAATCCTCTCATTCTACGATAACTTATTACCATGTAGATTTTACGGTTTTTATTTGCGATTAGGTCGTGTACTACCGAAGTTCGATCAATCTGCAGAATAATCGATTAAACGTATTCGCGGCACGTTTGTCGATGCACTTTAACGACTTCGGCTTGAAGATCATCTTACACCGACGACCGTGCACGTCAGTAGACATCACGAACAAAATAAATTTCGAATTTATACACGAATAAATTGTAACCCGTTACCAGCATCTAAGTCTTAACGACTATTAAATATAATTTCCCCCTAGGCGATTAATACATTATCGATTATGTAGCTGTCTGTCTGATACGTTTCCGGACCTCGGTTGTAATAAGCATTATAAAATTACAACAGCCTTTATAAAAAATACATTTCCATATAAATAAATAAAAAACTTTTTATATAAACTGTAATAAGTGATTGTAGTATACACTATACTATACTGTGAAACCCGACTTCTTTGTTGGACTAACTTAATGTTATTGGCCTCATGGCCTCATATTTGATTGTCATGGTAAAATGTGTCCTATGTTATTGCACCGAGTATTAGGGACCAACCGTAACCATATACGGTTATAGTTTCAGTCACGGCGTTAAGTCTGGTAACTTGGTAATAGCACCTGTGCTTATTGCCGGGACCAGAAAACACGGCTATAGATCTCACACTTGCAGTACTACTTAATGGTTTGTCACTATCCTGGTTCCGTCAATAAGAGCATAAAATTAGTATACATTACCAAGTCGATTGGGGCTATAATAACTCTTAATACCTATTATATTGTTATTATGTAAAATTGTTGAACGCCCAATTAAAGTACGCACGCGTTTAAATAGCGGATTGTCCTTAGGTAAGCCGAAGAAAATCTAAGGGCATTCTAACGAATATACAACTTGAACACTTGGAACATATTGACTCTCCATCTTGTCTATAGCCGTTGCGTTTACATAATATTCAAACGGTAAATTTTTCGTTATGCAATTTATGCGTCAACTAGGCAAGTCGGACCAGACCTATAAAGTTCAAACGCGCGTTTTCACATGTTATACAATATGCACGCATAAAAAGTCTGATGTGGATTATATTATTTCAACACATTATAACGTGTATGTGCACTTTATTTATATGATTTTCAAAAAAACCTTAACGTGGATTTTTTCCCATCTAATTGACCGCGTTTGCCAAACGGTATGGTGTAGGACAAAACAAAAAAAAAAATGTGTATAATTCAGATACAGTGTCGGGCCAAAACAAAAAACGAAATGATCTCTCTTATAAACAATGATAACACGTGAATTTACAAAAGGGCAGCAAGTGAACGATTGCAGATTATTAAGGCGGACATACACTGAACAGAGGCACGAGTACTTGTGCCAGCAGTTGTTTTTTTTTTTATTTGCCGATGAACAGTGTATACACGAAAAGACAAGACCCTGACCGTATGAACAACTTGAGAGCAACAAGGGAAAACAATTCTGGTCAATATACATAGACTTTTACAATATTATTATTATTATCTAATGAACCTTTTATGATTGTATGTATATGCACATGTTAAGCGAAATTTATCGATAAATCTCAATACTAGCGCCTTACGTTGTATATGCTTAATTAACTTGACGGCTGCTGCTGGCTGCAGGTTGTCGTATCGACTCCAATCTCCATAAGCCATTTATTATTATAACACAGTGATAAAACTGGCGCATCTCGGTAGTCCGTCTCGAGCCGCGAATAATATAATCCCGTACAGCAATTATTTAGAATTAATATAAATATTTTCTAAATGATTTGTCGGAAAATTGTACAAGAATCTGTTTAGAAAAATAATTCACGTACTATTGAATAAAAAATAATAATCATAAAATTATTATTATTAAAACATAATCGCTATTAATATTTGATTTCCAACTACTAAAAACTTGGTTTTAAAATTATTTTGATAACTATAATAATAATATTAATAATATAATTTTGTAATAACAACACGTATTTGTTTTGTTTTGTAGGTTATGCCGAAAGCTGTGTCAACGAAGGAGAGATCGTTAACGTGCTCACCATTAAGAATATGATGTGTTACACTTGCATGTGTAAAGTAAGTATCGTTGACCGTTGTATTGTTTGCAATTTGCATAGTAGTTTATTTAGTTATACAGTATACCTAAAGGTTACATTAATAATAATATTATTATTATTATTGTAATGCATAGTAGGTATGTATATAATTTGTGATTTTATTATGATGTGGTGGTAAAAATATAATATGCAAACGGTGAAAGTTCTTGACGGTTGTCTAAAAACTAGGTTACGCACTACCTTGCCCAAAGCACTGGCGGATAACCTGTCTGAAATCCGTCTGCCGCCACCCGTTCTTGTACGCCTCAGGAGAGTGCCAACAGATTATTATTATTATTATTATTTATTGTTATTATTGCACATTTCAAAATATGAACAAAATAGATGTGTTTACACTGGTCTCGATCATGATAATAAAGAAGTATTAATATGTAATATAATGCACCCAATTTCGTTGGTACTACAACAACACTTGTATCACAACAATATCAATTTTAAATTGTATTAAAATATTCTTCGGGAATGAACAAGCCATTACATTATCGCTATGCGTTGAATTACGAATGACTCCTGTCCTCTACTTACTTATCGTTGAACAAAATCTTAACCTCAGCCATTTCTATCGTCGAACAAACGGTTTCAAATCGCGTTTATGAAGTTTTAATATTAAGCATATTATTATTATCATCATCATCATTATTATTAAGTATAGTTAAAGCATAAAATAAGTCTCGGAAAATACCAAGGCTGTGTGGCTTAAACTCGTTTTGTTTTATTGCACTCTACATAGACAATCGTCTCAACTGTTGTTGAATATTATTATTATTTTATTTTTTATAACGCCCCCTCCCCGATATTGTTTAATTTGTATGTATAATATTATTTTGTACATGATTCCAAAGACGTCCAAAACACATAAAAAGTCTACTGAAAAGTATCTGAAAAAAAAACTGAAATATCACTCTTTTCAATTTTATTAGAAAAATCTTATTTCAAAATACTAAGCCACTCGCCTCTTTTTTATTACACTACGTTCACATCATCAATAGTTTTTTTTCAGTCATATTTAGTTCTTTTTGTATTTTATTTTTTGTTTATTTTTGTTTATTAATTTGTGAATATTTTAATATTGATGGCTGATGAGGTGTGTTATTATGTTGAACATTTTGAAAACACAAACATAATTTTATGTAGAGTATAGCTGTTTAAAATTATTTTTACTAGATTTGCGAAATTTGTTTCGTTATTTAGTTAATATCTTTATTTTGAAAAATTGTTTTGGTAGGCAATAAAATTTAATTTTGAATAAAATTAAAACTATAATATGTTTTTCGTTTAAATTCGTAATGACCATCAATTAAGTTAAAATATTCGACTCTCATATATTTTGCAGTGACCAATCAATCAATTATTATACTCCGATTAATGCTAAGGCGTCGATTGGATTTTTTTGTCTACTTAACGGTCACGATTTGAATGAATTATTCTTGATGGCGTCGCGTCGGTGGTGACAGCACCAGTGTGTTTCGGGTTCGTTATTTTTTCTTGTGTTTCGAGAGTTGCCGGGAGACATAAACAAAACACAAAATACAAATTTGTTGTTGCAGCTGTTGTCTAAGTATAGCTTGAATTGTTGTATTTTGAATGTAGTGAAAAACATACATAATACAGAATTTAGTATACAAAATACAATAATATTACACTATCAAGTCGCCGCCGCCGCCGGATCGAAAGCGGCGCACATTATCGCATTGATAAATGATGTTATTATTATTATTCGGCACACATGTAAAACATTTCTCGACCAAAGGCATAGAAATTGTACTTGCTAACAAATGTCAAATAGCCAAGGGAGTTACTATAGAATGTTTGGCGAAAATTAGACAATTTATCGGAGTGTTAAAGCTATCTTTGTCAACGCTATTGTTATTTATTACTTTCTAACTTTTTTTTATTTAAGCGATGTCTGACAATAATTGTATGTTAACTATTTTGAACCGACCGCAATTAACAGCTGCATTATGCTTGAATACCGTATATCGGACAACGCATAATGTTATGTGTTTAATATAATATATTGTTATATAACCAGTTAACAAGGTAAAATATTATATTTTCAACATTTACATTAGGTTAGTTTAAGACGTCGACTTTAGCTTGTTCGGGTTTTGCACTAACGTCGTGTGTGTGTGTGTGTTTTTTTTATACGCAATCGATACACTTGACTCATTTTACACGGTTACCCGCGACAACTGGGCATAACACACGATATTATTAGCTGTGCACTGCGTGGTGTACCTAAGACAACACTTAACGGAATACTAAGTGCAAACTATTCTCTTAACGGTTGTCGGTCGTTGTGAAATTTTTTTACAATTTTGGACCCTGCGCTATTGTAAAAATGACGCCAGCTGTTGTTAACGATGACCGTTAACCCTTCACTGCATGTAAGTGCATATATGCATTAGGTTATTTGTGTTGATATAACTTATTGATTATGGTTGAATGTAATTTTTTACATCTCTATCTGTCGGAAAAATAACTGAACTATCGATTTTTAAAACGATTTTGATCAATAGAGTGCAGTAAACACATAAAAATGGCATATATATCATATAGTTGTGGCTAATACAAAAATAGCTGTGGAATACTCTGTTTGTACTCTATTTTATTATACTAAAATTGTATCTATGGTGTTGAAAAAAATACAACGTGTATTGTTATTGTCTGCTTTACCAGAATGAACTGTTGATAATTTTCAACCATGTTTATTTGATTATAAAACAGATATTTTGTTACCGCGGTCACATATGACCTTCCATGCATTTGTTATTATGGTTTATAGGTACAAGTCAGCGGTGTTTATTTTTACTTATTTTTCGTTTTTGATGATTTTTAGTCTTTATTTGTTTGAAATTAAGATGAGTAAACTTAACAATAAAGATATGAGAGCAATATGAGAGCGAAGACGAGTTTTGTGATTTAGATGATGAATTTTTGGAAATATTTTCTCGAGACGTTAACGAGGTATACCTATTTATCTATAATATTTTTTTTAGTAAATAATTTGAAATTCGTATTACTTAGGATTGTAATCATTGGCCGCAATTTGTAGATACAAGAAAAGTTTGTAAAATGCCATCATGTAAATCTCAAACATTTGTAAAATGTATAAAATGTAATGTATATTTGTGTGTTAGTAGAAATAAGACGTGTTTTGAAGATTTTCATACAAAATGAACAAGAAAATAATTATTAGAATGTTAAAAAAATTATTAAAAAATATTTAAAAATATTTAAAAAAATTATTAAATTTAATTAGAATTTAAAATAAAACTGTAGAATTAATTTTTATTTTTTAATAGTAATAATAAGATGTGTTCCATGCATGTAAGGTCATATATGCATTGAGACTTAAAATGTACGTAAATTCGTTCAAAAGTTAATAAAACATTTTTTTTTTATATCCCCAGCTTTTGTATTATAATATTAATAATTTCTAATTTTTTCGTAAAAAAAAAAATGTATGCAGTGAAGGGTTAAGGCATTTTTTTTCGGGTATTTAAAATCTGAGAGCTGGCCAAAAAAACGAAAAATCCGCACTGACGGGTTTTTGTAAGTGCCGTAAAAACTTAAACGCACGTGTAGAAATTTGTGCGGAACCAGTTTTGAGTATACTGTATAGAAAAAAATTTACCAATCAAATAATAATAATATGTAATCGCCTCGCCGTCTGCGCTTGTATACAACGTACAATAATAATATAGGTGTATATTATTATTATTATTATTATACACAGCACCGTATATTATGTGTGTCGTGTAAATTCATTGTAACAGCAGCAGCCGTCGATGATCGCGCAGGTCGCTTAAACGACCCGGTGAAATTTATATTGGCCGTTTTATTTTTTTTACTCTACACACAGACATGTCTTGTGTGGATTCAAAGAAACACGGGTCTTAATGGGTAAAAGCGGCGTCGGTGGCGGCGTACGTTTGTGATTTATAGCACGCGCGTGTGTACCTCACAGCCGCCCCCCCCCTCCGCCCCCCCTGCCGTCGGTTTAACCAATAATTATATCGAGACCTGATAACGTTTTTTATCTCATTATTTTTTTTTTTTTATCCACTCGTATCTCTCCGGATCTCTCCAGCAGTGGCCAACGCTGTAGGTCTTATATCTATATATATATACACATATAATCAATCGTTGGGAACCGGAATTATTTTTTTGTTATACACGCGGCGCGAGAACGATGCAGAGTACCGATTAGAAGAGATGCAAGAAATAAATGTGAAATACTTAGGAGGCGGTGAGAGAAAGGAGCGGACCGAGGGGCACCGGCTACCGGAGTTACGCGTGGCGGCTAAATAATAATAATATTATTATTATTAGGTGTATGCGTAAAGATAGGTATATAGGTAACGCCGAGCGCAGCCAGTCGTCCATTAGTGCGTGCCATTTTCGCTCCAGCCCGGACATTTTGTGGGGAAAACCCTCCGGACGGCTACGAACCGGACTTCGGGCGCGATCGCCGCTACAGTATTCTTTTAATGCGATTCCTTTCACCGGCGCACCCCGTTCGCGACCGACAAGCGCACACTAGGTTTGCTTTCGACTCAAGGTCGCGGCCGTCAGTTCTCCTGTTCTCTTTAGGGACGTGCGCCGTTGTAAAATATAATCATTTAATGCAGTACCGTGCATTAGTGTGTGTGTTGAATTTCCCCGCAAAATTACAATTGCTTATAATAATACATGTACGGTAGGTACATATATTATTACCTACCGTACGACGTACAGGTGTATCATATTATTCAACGTCGAACTAAAAGAAGTCATACTTCATTTACTTTTAATGAATACACATATTGAGTTTTTATAACATTTAAATTATTCCACGATGTTCGCTATCAAACATCATAGGGAACATAACACGTTATCTTCGCTTACAAACTGATATGTCACTCGACATTTTGAAATGTTCCCTAGAAGAGTCTTCGAAAATGTCGACTCTAAATTACATTATTTTTTGAAAAAAAAGTTTGACAAAAAAAAATCCATTATTCTACGTCAAGTTTATCTAGTCGAAATTAAATATTACCGTCACGGAGTGCTCGAATTAAAAATTTAGGGGGATGTTTTTACTTTAAAAAAAAGGAGCATAGTCGTACCGTACCCAGCATTTTTTCCCCCCTAAAAAGATCAGCACTTATAATAAAAAAAAATTAGTTTGAGTACGCTACAATTTCTGAAAAAAAATAATTGGGGTACTCAGTCCCCCTGCGCCTCCCCCCATCCTAATTGAAGATTTGTAAGAACATTTCGAAAAAAATATTTTTTTATTTTTACACAACTCTACTTTATGAAGAAATGACCCCAAATTTTGTACATTTTTAACCAAAAAAAAACCTATATTTAGGTCCTCTTAAAACCTGACCTCATACGATATTGATTTCAAATACACACTGTACCATGTATGATGTAAGTAGGTATAAGTTATTTCAATACAATAATCGCATAAATGCGATTTTGATTACCCTTCCCCCCTCCCCCTCGTCATAACTACTATAAAGGTCTACTCGTCTTCCTTCAACACAGTATCAGATCTACGGTAGACGGCAAAACAGCCTTGAATTATGCGTATACGGTATATAAAATATAGTGATATTTTTTCCTTATCATTCTCATGTATATTCAACGTATCACTATACCTATAATAAATGCGGGTGACAATATTTATAATAATATTGTATGTCTCCTCACTTACCCGACAATCTCTGTCGTCAATGAACGACACTGCATTTGATTGACATCAATATATTATTATAACTCCAAGATATTTGCAATTGACCCACTAGAAGAACTCGACAATTGTCAATTAGGTACAGCGGGGGTCTGTAGGGGTGTAGGTTGTGTATAATATGTCTGTTAGGTATAACGTTTCAAACTGCTATCACCGGTGAAATGCTTCTCATGGTTTTATTTTATTTTGTGTTTGTTTTAGAATGGCTTCGTGGAATGTGAAAAAGACCAATGCCCGGACGAACAGGGCTGCTATATGCTACAAGACGTCTTCGTCGATACCAAAGGGTGCTGCCGCCGATGCAAAGGTATATAATATATTTGGCGCGATAAACGAGCGTCTGCAAAGTCGATTATAATTGTTTTTTTTTGTTTGTCTCAAAGGTTGTATGTACAAAGGCGTTCTGCGGGATAGCGGCACAGAGTGGACGGATCCAGACGACCCTTGCATGTTGATGTCGTGTAAGGCGGGTGTAGTCACCGAGACCAGAATGCAATGCATCACACCGTGTGCTCAACCACATCCTCCGAAACCGGGCACTTGTTGCCCTACTTGTCCAGGTATGTAACGTCTAAAAAGAACTTAACTGGCCAATGTCAATACGAAATACCTAGCTATATTATAGCGTAATATACACATCATGTGTAATACGGATCGGTTTACTTTCCGTCGCGATTATTGTCCAGAGATCGGTTCTATAGATTCGATTTAGAGATTGCTTTCCTTTACACCACTCCTCGAGCGACGCATGCATCCCCAAACAACCGTTTATTTCTATGTACACGTTATGGCTTGCTACAATAAATCACGGCCCTGTATCATGCCGATGTGCGTCGAGTGACTCGTGGGAAATGAGGCCGCCGGGTATAAAAAAAACAAAACAATAACACTTTGAATACAAAACAAAAAACAATGGACAGTTGTTTTTTAATATTATAATAACGATCTTTAAAGTATATAAGATGGGTAAAAAAAGTCGAGGAGGTAGAAAACTGAACGGAGCGGATAAAGAGATGGATGGCAGGACCACCGGCAACGAACATTGTGCGCAACTGCAACATAAACATGGTAAACGGTTTGCTCCGGTATACTCGGCTACCGGTTATGGCTAGCGTATCGATGGACCTATACTAAATCTTCGTCCGTGTGTATGTGAGCGGAAAAAATTACTTTTATCAAATCTAGAATAGTAGACTCCACAGTTCTGAGACGTTATAGCCTACCTACCGATTACCGCCGAGTGTCATGCGAGTGACAACGACGGTTTTTCAATTATTGTCAAGATACACATATATTATCATGTTATATCTGCATCCTTAATGAGCCAATTGTCGATTGGAATCTGCACGAATCCGTTCTGTCGGGCTCAGAAGTTTAAGGAGATTAATCGAGATTCTACGTGCAATAAACTTACCTGCACTGTCTGACACTGCTAATCGGTAGATTCCACAAGGACCGTCGCATGCTGCTAACAACAATTTTATATTTAAACAATAATAATTAATATTGATCGATTATCAGTGTCGTCTTAAGCTATTTAGGGGTACTTGGGCACACAACATTTGGGGGCCCTCTAAGAGAAAACCAAAAAAAACATAAACGTGCCCTTATGGAACTGTCAATTACCAAATGTTCGTCCGAAATAGTTATAAAAAAAAGCTCGATAACCCTTGACGCTTGTGGGTCGGGGGGGGGGGGGGGGTTGGAATTTTGGGATTTAATGAAGCCGTATCAGGTTTAACATAATAGGTATCATAAAACGCAAATATCTAATATTTTACCGTCGTTGGGTGTTACTCGGATAGGTCGATAAATAAACTACCATCTCCGCCGGTCGGTTCTTTAGTTATGACCATCGCCGTCCCGAGTCACGGGTGGCCGAACGCAGCAAAATGACTTTTGAAAAACCCCAGTCTTGCCTAAACATATTTGAACGACATACACAGAAATGCTGTAATAATAATAATATAATCATGCACTCATTGCGTTTTTCCACTGAACGCGCGTTCATTATTTTGTCATATAGATATTAATTCATCGGTGGGCTTTGTTGCACGCACTTTACTAAAATATAATATATATGTCTGTGTGTATGTAAATTGTACACTGGTGTGTTATGTAATTTATTATGGCGCACGAACGGCCGGCAGAGGATCATCAGAACCGAATATAATATTCTTTGTTTTATTCCTCCTATGGGATTATCCGACTTGTTTACGTGTGTTGTTTGACGACGGCGGCTGGCCGATTGGGCGGTACCGTTCGTGGCTATTATTTATTGCTCGGTCTAAAACAAATAAAAGATTAAGAAGAGCGCACGGGGTGGGCAGTGAGCGGATGGCGAACACACAAAGATAGGCTAATGGTTGTGTACGCGGTAAGACTGGATGCCACACACATTGAAACACGCCTCGGAGTGATCGCGTTGCCCGTGGAAAACAAAGTGGTGATGCTCGTGGCGTAGATATTATACCCGTGCAGGCGGACATTCCATGTTTGTGTGTTGGACTACCGCACAGGCAGCACGAACGCGAGCTAGAAGGTAAGGGTAGTGTGTAGGGAATGAAGAGGTCGACTTAAGAACAAAGAGCGGGGTGGGTCAAATATGAAAGCGTGACAGTAGAATCTAGAAACACAAGAACCATATGTACAAGTCCTATAATCATTGGACAATCATACCGTCGAAGAATATGAAAAAGTTCTCATTGTCAGCCTATCAGCCTAGAAGTGTTCGATTAAAACACAAACATAATTAAGGGTTGGGTTTGTATATACATGAAATAGGGCCGGTAATCAAAATATTTCGGTCGGACGCCTTTAGTTTGGATTGTTAGCAAAGGTTAATCCTAATTAACTATTTAAGTTTAATATAGTTAATTGTGAAAAAATGATGCTAAGGTCAATGCTACAGTATCCGTAACGTCTAAGAATATCATTAGTTAATAAAAAAAGTAATATTATTTTTTTCATGACAATAATTTCATAATAGCGCCTAGCGGTTAGGGCCATCATTTTTTTTAGTCTCGTTAAAAACCTAAATACTGTTGCTGCTGTGGGTCGAGGATGACCCTCAGTGACTTTAAGCAGTTCGTTGGCATTCCAGTCTGATGTCAAACGTTGGTGGGGAGTCCGGCCCCCCAAATGGCCGACAAGCAATCAAACTAGGAATTTTTTGGAATTTCCTAAAAACTTCAGAGGCGATTACTAGACGGGTCCTGTGGGTGGGGCTACCGACCGTCTGTCCGTTTGACGTCTTTTTTAATCATTAAATTGTACTAGATTAGTGACGTTAAATACCACATTAGTATTATTGTTTTAGTCGCCAAAGTTTTCCAAAACGCGTGCCTCAGTTTTATTTCACTTCGTATAGTATATAGTTGTTGAATCTTGTACACATATCTTATACACAGACAAAATTGAACCAACTAAATGTTTAGTTAAAGCAACTACACATTTAGTTGGATGTAGTTTAATTTGTAGCCATAGTTCTATGTATTCGGTCTCGTGTAATGTATTACAAGTGTAACAAGTATAGTATAGTAATATAACAAGTGGCTTCGCTATTACTTTCCATCCGGATTCGTCGATAATATGAGAAATTCGAAATACAATTTATCATCGAGTCGCTTAGAGTTGTCAATAACTTTGTATAGGTACGTACACGGGAGGCCCTTTAGGCCAACAAACTCCACTGTGTGCCTTATGATCATCGAAAGCACGGAGTGCGGTTGTCGTGTATAAAAATATTTCAAGTGACGCGTGAAGTTTGTGGTCGCTCGGTACGGACACCACGCTGTAGAATATTATAATAAATAACGACAAATCCGTTATCGATATTGCTAGGCTAATCGAAGCCAGTGGAAGTCAGTGGACAGTTATTAATTAATCTATGCACAATTGCTGTAACCGGTTTTGTGTTCCACAGGTTGCCAGGTTATCGGACAAGAAGTGGCTGCTTGGAGGAACGTCAGCCTATACGACGACCCGTGTCTGACCTGTCACTGCGAGCGATCCGCGGCCGGCCAAGCACTCACCTGTTCGAAAAAGGCATGCCCCGTGCTCCAATGTCCGTCCAACAGCATGCAGATATTGCCCGGCGAATGCTGTCCCAGATGCGTGGGTTAGTAAAACTACATTTTATTTATCTGTACACTGAAAAACTTTTAACTCGCCAAAGCACAGCATAAGTTTCTGTTAAGTTTACTCTATGTAAATACTTTATCAATGCGGTTAACCGGAAGCTTTGATTTCGGTCGGAAAGTCTGTGAAACCTTCCGTGTGCGTTCATTCAGCACATTTCTGAAAGCGGTATCTATTCGAAATAGTTTGTGATTTTCAATGTATGTTTATATATGTACATATACATAAATTTGAGTTCAATTCGATTGAAAGCGATGGACTGGCAAAGGACTAGAAACAGCAAAAGGGGGGAAACTTTTAGAAAGTAAAAAATGTTCGGATAATCTCAGTAAAACTTGTCTGCTTGTATATTTTAACTTAAAAATCAAGTTAAATCTTGTCGCGATATAACAGCGAGTGTGGATTATTATGACGTTTTTTAATTAAAAATAAAGACTAGGTACTAAGATATTAGTCTTTTAAATCGGTTGTAAGCATTAACTTTGGCCGAATACTGAAATTTGGTTATAGTTATTATGTTCAACGGTTAAACCTCTTATGGGGTATATAACTGTTGTTGTATTTACAATGTCTAGACGATTTCAGATTACTCTCGTGTAAATTAAATATATTAATTTATGGGTTGACACATCGTAGTGGCCTTAAATAATGTCACTAATTTAAGTATAACTTTTGTAATTATAACGAGTTATATTCAAAAATTCAAAATATAAATTTTAACAGTTTAAGAAAATAATTGTTTTCTGAGACTGTTATGTTTTTTACCCGTCTGTTTTTATTTATTATTTCTCTTTTTTCCCCTCGGCGTGCAAAAACAGACCTTTGTTACGCTATTTTAAATGCATGCCAGTACTTTTTAAAGTAAAAGTACACAGTGTACTTAATCTAATCAGGTTTATTTCATATGACTGAATTGTATTATTGTAAATATCTAGGAAAGAGTAGAAAATTGATGGATCCACCGAGAGGAGCGTGCTTGCTGGGCGATAAGATCACTCCGTCCGGTCAAGAAACGCACCCGGATCGTTGTACACAGTGTATGTGCACCAACTCAACGGTTGTCTGCAAGCGCGAGACTTGTCCGCCTTTGGATTGTCCGGTGGAAAAGCAAGAGTTTTCTTCGCACAACAAATGCTGCCCGCAGTGTCCCGACACTTTGGACAAGAGCGACACGTGCAAAGACAACGGCAAAATTTATTTGGTAAAAAATCAACGACTAGTTTACACAATCGTATTAAAACTAATTGGCTTAACTAATTAATTGATTTTTCGACAGAACGGCGATAATTGGAAGGTGGACGAATGTAAATCGTGTTCGTGCGTTCGAGGACTTGTGCAATGTGCCCAAGAAATGTGCCCTCCGGTCGCCTCGTCCTGCCCGGCCAACATGAAGCTTCGTACAGTCCCAGGTTCATGTTGTCCTCGATGTGTGCCCAGTAAGTGTCTGCTAAAGCATTTCCGCTAACACTAATGACCGCAGCGATGAAAACAACATAGTACTAGATTTACTAATTTCTACGGTTTATTCGTCGTTTCAGTGGACGGCGTTTGTACGGTGTTTGGCGATCCACATTACAGGACGTACGATGGAAAATTTTTCAGCTTCCAAGGACCGTGCAAATATTTGTTGAGCGCCGATTGCGTCGGGAGAACGTTTAGCATTCGCGTGACAAACGATGCGAGAAATACAAAGAACTCGGCATGGACAAAAACTATCTCACTGAGGGTAAGTGTGCGAGGATATAAGAAATCGGTCGGCAAATCGTTTCTAACGCACTTGCAATTTGATTTGCAGACCGGAGGTTTAAAAGTCAATCTCGGCGAAAACAAACGGATCAAGATCAACGGACAAAGAGTGAGCGTGCCGTACAAGAGGAGCAACGAACTTACGATATCGAATATGAACGACACCGTGTTGGTAGAAACGCGAATAGGGGTTTCGATTATTTGGGACGGTCGAGGGTTTCTCGAAGTTTCCGTACCATCCAGATATAAAGGTGAGTGTGGCTCATTGATAGCGGCCGATTAGAAACAGATAAAACGCGTTTAACAGATTTCGCATCCGATCGATCACATGGCGTGTGTTGAAATTATATTGTGTGTTTCCAATTTGGTGCCCGCAGGTAGTTTATGCGGATTGTGCGGTAACTTCAACTCGGTGCCCAGAGACGACATGACCACCAAAGACGGTCAAGTGGTGTTGGACTCTCAAGTGTTCGGGTCGTCTTGGCGCGTCGGCGGTAAGAACGCGTGCAGCCGAACGTTGAAACCCGCCGTGACGTCGCAGACGTCCCCGTGTTCCAGGAAAGGTCCTAGGGTCCGGGAACGGATGTGCAAGCCTCTCCGGCAACGCATGTTCGCCGCGTGTCACAAAAAGCTGAATCCGGTTAACTTTTTCAAGTAAGTCCAGCGACCAATATCGATGGGCCAAACAAATCGTTGTCTACATTGTATATAATATTATGATTTTTGATCACAGGTCCTGTCTGACGGACATGTGCGAATGTCCTACCGGTAGGAAGTGTTATTGTGAGGCGATGACGGCGTACGCGCACAACTGTCGTCGCCTAGGAGTGTCACTGCCCGACTGGAGGACCATGACCGGATGCCACACATACTGACCCAAGTCATCACGTTCGCCCAGTGTAGAGTCCGCTTGTTTGTTATTGCTAGTCATTGTTTTTGTACATCTCCAACTCAGCGGTCACCGCCGCCTATTTGCCTGACCGGTCGATTGATATGGTTAGTAAATAATAATGTAGTTAAACTAAAATTGAAACTACCAATTATTATCTTCCAACAATGATCTTTATAGTGGCAATGAAAACGCAAAAAAAGAGTATTGTCGCTTCGAAATGATTTTTAGATATTGTATCAAGTCTAAAAGTAATTTTACCGACAATAACGACTAGTTTAAATGATACTAAATACTTTTTCAATATTTAAAGTAAAGAAAAAAAATCAAATCTGGAATCCGGATAGGTTAGGGGTTTTTAACGATTTAATTGCTCTAAAAACTCGTTATTTTTTTATTCAATTTATAACTAGACGTTTATACACTTAAATAATTAGATTTCGGATTATTTCATGTCAATGTTACACACTTATTTACAGTTGTTACAGATATATTATATTAATTATTGCAAGTTTATATTATGTGAAATAAGAGTTTTGAATTATGAATTTAAAAAAAATTCTAATTAAAATATTCATTTAATATTAATAATTGGTGGAAATAACATTGTTGAATACTTTAATTCTCAAGACCAGTTACAATAATCATTGAGGTTATTTTTTAAATTCTTGTTCAAATTAATCAACTCTTTTTTTTTTTTTAATAAACCAATAACCAGCACATCTTAATGTCGGCTCTATACGTGCCGATTAACATATTATTATAATATGTCTAATTAGTTTTCAAGAAATACACCAACAACAAGTTATAGAGAATAAGCAATTTTTTTCCCGATAAATTATTTACTGTGGTTTTTGCATACAATTTCAGTCGGTATGTTAAAAATTAAAAATTACTTAAAAAAAAAAATTCAAGCGGATTAATTTATAATTCATATTGAGAGCGGCGATGATTATTATGTTAACTATTTAAGTAAAGGTCAGGATTTTAAATAGCTATTCCATAATGAACTTAACATTCTACATCCAATGTGTTGTAAAAATTGCTATACCTAACAAGATTTTAATGGTTTTTACTATAAAGTTTTTTTTTTAAACTAATGACAATATTGTGTTATGCGTATTGACGCTTAATGCAATTGTAGTGTTAATTTGTTTTTTTTAAAGGTGATAATTAGTATGAACAAGTAAATCAGAAAAAAAAAAACACAGCTCTGATAACATAATGTCTTGCCAAATATTTATTAATAATAATAATAATAATAATAATAATGCTTTTTTTATTAGCAGTAATATTGATATAGTATTGATTAATTTTTTTTATTATAAATAATATGGTGACGATAAATACATTAACCGGAATAACTAACGTAAATTGTTCGTACCTTCTTGTTACAGATGTAATACACGATCAACAATTATTTTATTATTTTGTAACATACACCCGTTATTTGCCATCACGAGCCGATGGCCAACGAAGACGACCTAACGAATATCGTAGCAGTATTTTAAGTGTCACGCAGCTGGATTTTTGTTTTAAAACAAAACCGAAAAATATGATCATAACCGTTTATATGTATAAAAAAACGGACCACTCCGGCCCGGCCACCTTCCCCCGTTTGATTGAGCGCTCGACCCTCGAGCCCAGGATGTCTATTTTATTTATTATCGTTTATTGTATTTGATTATTATTATTTTTTTTAATATTATTACTATTACTTGATCAAACGGATCGGCCGGAGACGCGTTAGGCCTACCCAATTCTCATTCGCCTTGCGCATGGAAGCGTTTTTCCTCATGGCAATAATTTGATTATGATGTGCGATTTGAAACAATTACCGAGTAATTCCGCAGCTTACCTACGCTGTTTTGACTTAATTAATTTATTAATTTATTTTTAAAAAAAATATTATTTTTATCTGTGTGTATGTGTGTGCGAGTACTTTTGACTCGAAATTCTACACCCACACACACACACACACTTGTGACGTATGTTTTCCTCTCGTTTGGGTGTAGTGTCGCGAGTGTCATGGACACTGGTGTACACCCTCTCTCGAGAGTCAGAAAGAATAACGTTCTTTCTATGCGTTTTACCTGCAACCGTTGTTAAGTCGTCTAGCAGCAGCTAGCTTAAGTCGGGCGACGAAAAAATAAAAAAATACCAACCTTTTGTTTTTTTATTATTTACTTACTTTTATTTGTCCGAGACAAAAGTAATACCCATATAATAATATATAGAGCCTATTTATAATACATTATTATTATATATTATATACAATATACTGTAAACTATCGTTTTAGAGGAATTAATTATTTATTTGATAGAAAATAACTAAAGTATTTTTTAACTATTTAAGTAAAATATTATTATAATAATGTAAAGAAAAAAAATGTTTGTGAAATTTATGTTCCTACCTTTTGTGTTTGTCATTAATTTATTATGATTTTTTTTTTAAACACATGTCATTTATATGTAATATAAATATTAAAAAAAAATCAATTGTATATGAAATAATTGTATACGCTGTTGTATTATTTTACCTTACGCTGCCGTTACGTGGCGACGAGCGAGCACGTACATTTTATTATTTCAACAAATTTTAACAAAATATAACAGTATCAATACAATAATAATATTATTGTTATACTATAGGAAAAATATAAAAAAAATATTATATAATATTCAAAATGTGTCTTTTATAATAATAAGTATTATGTTGTTTACACGTACAGATGTTTCTGGTTAAATTATGGATGGATAAAAAAAACTGAACGCGGCAGAAATCGAGTATATTATACAAACAAAAATATCCTTCTGGCTACTATCATAATATTTCAATTAGTAAGTTTTAATTTTAAGCAATAGGTATACACTGGCAAATGCATAAGAGCTGTTAATATTATGACTCGCTGCATTATTTTGATGGTGCATAAAAGCGTAAGACTAAAACAATATCGCAAAAGATAAAAAAGCAAATTAATAAATGTACAAGTAGTCGGATAAAGACTGGCGAACGGTTTGATCACGCTCAACAACAATACAATTATTATTTATTGTAAAAAATTATTAGGTACTTTATAAAAAATTACAACAGCTAGAAGCGACAATAACATTTTCAAAGTAATAACTATCTGGTGGTTTACAGTTCAATGATAAACAGTTAAGCAATTCAAATACGGTCAATTATAATATTTATAAAACATATAAGTACAAAATATGATGTACAATATTGCATGAAGTAAATTTTATATCATTTGTGAACGCCCAACAAAATAAAAGCGCCTATTTCGCTGGTGAAATGTTTTTGGGTGTAGTGAAAACAATTATTTTTAAAAATTATTTTAAGGCTTCGAAGTCATTAGCCTAAATAAAACAAAAGATGGAATAATTTCAAATTATAATAGCTCTGGTGGACTGGCCAACGGAATTAGAAGGATTCAGTCATTCAGATAAAATAATAGTAATTCAGAGATAATCTTTGTATTGTTGTAGGTACAGAACTATAACAATATGGTTACGTTATGTTTAAATTCAACACCGAGGAAATTAATTAAAAAATATAACTTATATAGTTACATTTAATTTAGTTTTGTTAAATAGAATAAACAAAACAAAATAACTAGCTAAATAGAGTACTTCTATAACATTAATAATATGATCATTGTCATAGATAATATAGAAACGTATGGAGTCTTTAACACATGACTTTAACTCAGGGCCGTATTTAGGAATTTATCACCCTGGGGCAACAAAAAAAACGCTCTATTTTAATATAATACAAATTTAATGCAATATAAAAAAATTTAGCCACCCCCTCATAATCAGCCGCCCGGGGCAACAGCCCCTGTTGCCCCCCTAAATACGGCCCTGCTTTAACTTTAAGTGAAATATATGTTAGTCAGAATCAAAAAATTGTTTTAAAGTATGTTATATAATTACCGTTTTGGGAAGGACACTAATATTTAATTCCAGACATGGAACGTTCACAAATGTGTTTTTAGTTTTCTTATAATTAACCTTTTTAAGAGTCGTAGGTTCGGCTCACAACAGTTATTAGCTATATTACATGAAATATTTAGTAAAACTACAATGTAAGGTATCTAACAAAACATAAACAAAAAAAATACAGTTAAAATTGATCTAATTATTATATTTTTATCAACGATATCGTTGCGCGATGATCTCGAAGATCTATGTGGTAAGAATGTATTAAAAAGTACTATGTAACAGTCTAATGTAGAAAAATGTATCACAAAAAACAAGTGCAGTAAGGCAAAATGTATTAAGACCCCAAGTACAATAAGCCAACTTATTTAGATTTTAGCAATATAAAGAAAACATTGTACACTGATGGTAGTTAAAAATTGATATGTAAAATATAATATGTGTATAATAATTACGATGATATGTGTTTGTTTTTAAAAAGTTTCTTTTTGGTAATTAAATAGTATGATATGTTTCGCTTACAATTTATTAAAGACAATGAAAACCGACAAATTGCGTTACAAATATGGTGATATTGTAAAACACTTAAATTAAAACAATTTACTTTTAACAAAAAAAAAACTTGGAAGCTTAACAGCTTCTTTATATCAGAGTAGAATAGTATGTGTTACAAACAATCACAACAATTATCAACGATCAATTAACTAAAACTAAATTAATGGTATTTTCATACTAACATATATAATAGAAAATGTATTATAAATATAAATTAACTAGTATAATGTATAATTAAGTAAAAGTCTATCGTGTAAACGCAGTTAACATTAACGGCTTAGCTGAGTTTAAAAAAGCGCCAATTAAAAAAATTCTGCATTTTTCAATTTACGCAGTTTTTTTTCGGGCCAGTAAAAATTTTCCAAATACAACAATTTGTTTAATATAAAATATATACATATGAATATTGGTACCAATTATATGAATTACAATATTATAAATACTTGAAAAAATGTATTATTGCTCGTTGGGACTATAGTATTAAGATACTTTATCAATAATAAACGTGGTATTCGTGAGTAAATTTCCTTTGTATGTATTAATTATAAGCTGACTAATAGACGGATGAAGTGGGTATTGGTTTTTATAATATACAAAAGGAAGTGATAAATAGTGATGACATAATTAGGTGTCTTGTACTATTTTTAAGGTACTTCAAGTGACTTCTGGTTTCTAAATTTAAAGCACTAGAGAATAATAAACAAAAATTTGGGTTTAATAATTAAAGCTTTTGAATATGTAATCATTATAATAAGCAAGAAGTTGAAAATCTAAATCAAGTTATTAATAATTAACTTTAAATTTTCTAAAAAACAAACTTTTGTCGTTCAATTAAATACATTTATTCACAAAATAATTTAATTTGTTAGATTTGGTTATGGACTCGAAGTTCAACAAGACATATAAAAATAATACAATCAATTCAAAAAAAAATGTTAACTAAAGAAAGAAAGAGAGAGAGAAAGTGAACACAATCGTGTTAATAGTACAGTGGAATGATAAACTAGATTATCATTAAAGTAAATTAAGCAGTTTATGAAAAAGGCATGCAATATAATAGTTAATACTAAATATAATAAAATATTCAATAATATTGAACTTAATTGCGTACACTGTCTTGCGCACCGTCTAAAGAAATATTAATTTCATATAATTATATAAAAGAAAAAAATAAATTTAAATATTTAAAAAACATAGTAATTAGTAGATGTTTCTTTTTATGTTATTTTAATAACAATGATATGTTTGTTGATTTAGTGATTTGTATAATAATGGTAATACTTAGAGTAATCATATTTAACATTTGATATAATGATATGTTCTTTGTTCACACGGGAAAGGTGTATAGTTCTGTGTGAGTGGATATAAAAACAAAAGATACTGTTTTAATAACTATTGATTTGCTTACCATACAAATCAGAATGCTTACAACATCAAAACAATTATTAACAATAATTATAAAATATGTACTATTTCAACTTAGCGAGGAAAGTTTTCCATTTTTTTTTTTTACAATGTCGAGTTTATTTAAAAATTGTATTTAGAAAGAGTTATTGTTTTCAAATAATAATTATTTTATCGAGTTGTTAAAGTACACTTTTTCGGAGATAGTTTTATACCCACTAAAGCTCTGTATAATATAATATATAAATTACACTTAAAAACCAATAAACGATACAACTCGTTGATATGCATGATGAGTTACGATCAGTACAAATATGAAATTCCCTGTATACAAAACTTAAAAACAAATGTGTGCACGGCAAATTAGTACCGTTATATTTTGCCTGACGTGCCGGATTTTTCGTTTACTTTTCTGGCCACCCAAAGTCTTGGCCCAGAACGTCGTACAGCTTTTGATTATGTTGACTGAAATGTTCTCGGAGTTTGGACATGACCGCGGGGTGCACGTCTGGGTGTTTCCTGCCCTTGGTTTCTTTCAGGCACTTGTCTCCCGAGTGATACCGCAAGCAGTAGAACCCTTTTGTGCGGTTGAAGTAGAAGTGCTCGGGCCCTATGAGGTGTTCGAGGCCCAGGAAAGACTCGATGCGCCTTAGCTCCGACACTGGGTTGATGATCAGCCGGTCGCCGTTGACCACGAACAGCTGTTCCCTAGGGAACACGTCCAACCATCTGTAAACGTGGTTGTGGTAAGTGGAAACCGTGATCGGCCGATAGTTGGTGTTGACCGTGCCGTCCGCGCGTATGACCAACTGCTCGAACGACCTGCTGCTCTTGTTGGCCATTGGGTTGCTGTGCAGCTGAGTGTAGTCTGAAATGGCTCTGATCACCGGATCCCTCAGTATCAGCAACAGTTTCACGCTGGAGTTCATCGCCTTGATCCGCTCGGGCACCTAAAAAATATATTGTTCATTGTTATATTGTCGACAAACACTAGTTCGGGCCATGCAGCGTTGACGAAACACACGGTCGGCTAAAATAAATGTATGTACAACAAAGTGTACACCCTACATTGAACTTTTGTCTTCAAATGTACTAGAATTATAGAAAAAAAAATGCATCTACATGTATTAAGACAATTTTACTGTAGTATTTAATGATGTTAATAATTATTGTGCAAATCAATTGAACTTGGACATACAAATTCCACGAGAAGGGCCAAAACAAACTCAACGTCAGAATATTGTAACGACTAATCCTGATGAGTACTTTCGAGTTTCTATGTATCTTAATTCCGTCCTTAGAAATTCGTTTTAGTCCAATAAATGAAATACTATTTAAGTTAGGATTCTTACACTCATAAACTATGTTAAAAATGGAAAAAATACATTTTATCACGAATTTACAAGAATTAGGCAAGCATTGCAATTTGTGTTCAATTAAGTAAGTGTAATATGTAAAATGTAGTAGTATAATACCTTTACAATTTGATTATGATAATATAATTTTTAAAAATACACATTAATAATAGTGATATTGGTTTTTTATATAAATAAGGTAGCAAATTAAGGGGGACGATTTAGAATATCTTCTAAACCTCTGAAGCGATTTCTTCATGTAGCAAGTCAGAAATCGTATCTACACGGTACTTTATTGGTCCAAAAATTTAAAAAGTCCACCCCTTTCCATTCGAAATTGAAAGTGTTTTGAATAGATTTTATCACTTTTAGTTATAATATATCCTGAAAACCAATGATCTCCTCCACCCTAGTATTCTCAGTCCCCAGCCACAGTGCTAGATTTTTGTTTAGCTGGAAATAGTAGTTCAACAGAATTATTATCCTGTAACCTTTGTACTGTTTCATACTCACGTTCCGAGAATTGCATTTAGATGGTCTTTTCCAGACAAGACTATAATTATTTTCTTTTCAACTATACGGGCGTTGGTTTAGAATTATAGTAAGTTAAAGTAGTGAAAAGGCAATTTATTGGAAGTGATAAGAATTGTTGTCATTATTGATCCATCGCATCGTAGTAACTTTTTATTTTCTTCAAATGGGCCGAAACGAAAACGCGGTAGATTGTATTTTGTTTTTGAGTTTTTTTATTTTTATTATTGCACAACCATTAACCAATAGCTTTTACTTCCCCTATACTCGTATTTTCTACTCGGTGTCTGCTATAAAATGTTTGCTTTACAGATACCGAGAATACATACTTGAAAAGCCAAAGTAAAAATCGGTGCTCTGTTATATAAAAAAAAATGAAGCTTTTTTCGATTTTTGTATCTGTGTCGTTCAAAAGAAAAGTTGAAAAATGGAACAGATCTTTGGCGATGAAAGACTGTAGTCGCAATGACACTCGAAAACTATACATTACACTATATTATATTGGTAATAAGTACAAGTGCTCATTCTGTATAACATTTCCAGAAACACGACGTAACACAATAAAGCTTTTACTAACAAAGGTGGGTGCGGTAATAAGACATCACACAATTATTATTATGCACAGAAAATAAGTTTCGGCATGTGTACACAGTCGTAAGTACAAACAAAAAGTTCTCAAAATAAAATATTATTTTAAAACAATAAAATGAATATTTAATCAAAACGTAATAGTACACTTTCTCATACTAATTATTTTCATAAAAACCCGCTTGTGTATTATGTGTGTTTTGATATTATTTTTTAATATAAATATCATCACCATAAAAAATATCTTGAATTTGTATATTATTTATTTATATTCATAAATGTTGCCGAATATGGTCAAATGAGGAATTACCAACAGAATGGAAGACAGCAGTGCTATGTCCAATTCACAAGAAAGGGAATAAACAGGACTGCAATAATTATAGGGGAATAGCTCTCCTAAATGTAACATACAAAGTCTTTTCGAACTGCATACTATCAAGGTTAAAGAGTAAAGCAGAAGAAACTATAGGTGACTATCAGGGAGGATTCAGACTAAGAAGGTCGACAGTAGATCAGATATTTATCCTCAGACAACTGTTCCAAAAAACTTGGGAGTTCGACAAAGAGATACATGTTCTTTTTATCGACTTCAAAAAGGCATACGATAGCGTACATAGAGCAAGCCTAATTAATTGCCTGAAAGAATTTAAGTTACCACAAAAATTAATAAGACTTATTGGGATAAGCATCACAGAAACATTCGTAAAAATTAAGGTAGGAAGTGCAGAAACAGAGCCAATACTAATAAAATCTGGGTTAAGACAGGGAGACTCAATATCACCGATTCTATTTAACTTAATTTTAGAGAAAGTAGTAAGAGAAATGTATATTCAACCACAAGAAGGTGTTAAGTAACAAGAATCGACTATAGCAATTTTAGCATATGCAGATGATGTGGTACTAATGAGCAAATCACAAGATAATTTAAGATCACTATTCACTCGTTTGGAGGAAAAGGCAAAAAAAGTAGGGTTACAAGTAAACGAGGAAAAAACCGAATACATGATTGTTGGTAGAAGAGATAGTGTGGCCGTTTTTCCACACCTGAAAGTTGGTAGATATGAGTTCAGTAGAGTCAAACAGTTTAAGTACTTGGGTTCAATATTAACAGAAAAAAATGAGACTGACAAAGAAATAGCATCAAGAATCCTATCAGGAAATAAATGTTTCTATGGACTCACAAAAATATTAGGATCACGATCTCTGTCAATAGAAATGAAGATACAACTATACATAACCTTAATACGCCCAGTTGTCACTTATGGGGCTGAGGCCTGGCCATTGAGAAAGACTGAGGAAAGGAAATTACTGGTTTTTGAAAGGAAAGTTTTAAGGAAGATTTTTGGACCTGTTATGGACAGAGAAACGGGAGAGTGGAAAACGAGAAAAAATGAGGAACTGGAAAGGATGTTCCGGAAAGAAAATATATTAAGCGTAATCAAAAGCCGAAGACTTCAATGGGCTGGACATGCTATGCGAAGCCAGAACCATCTCATAAGGATGATCATGGACGAGAACCCAGTAGGCAGGAGACCACTGGGAAGACCACGATTGAGGTGGGAAGATGTGATAAGAAAAGACGTGGAAACACTGAACGGAGGACGGGATTGAAAACAAGAGCGGTGGATAGGGAAGGCTGGAGGATTGGATGTGTGATGGGATGGTCTTGATGGCCGGAAAACCCAAGAAGAAGATTCATAAATGTATAATACATCAGAGTCCTGGCTCTGTTTTATAAACCAAACAATGACAAAAAATGTTTACCATAATAATTATTCTTACTTCTATAATAGTGTGTTTGACTAATAATAAGAATATACTACACGTTTGTCATTGGTAGTTTATAGTTATTTGAAGTGGCATTATGATTATATTATTAAATTATTTGAGTTGTTCGGATTTTAAACATGAGGAGATTAAGTAGAAATATATATGTGTCGCAAGTGTTTACAGTATTTAAAATAAACATTTTATGGTTCATAATGAACGAGTAATAAAAATAATAAATGTTTAGACGCGAAGTAGAAAATGTATTAGTTTTATAACGATAGTGGCGTTTATAGTATATAATTTCAGGGGGGGTTATAAAATAAGAATAGATTTAGCTAATATTATAAATTAACTTTGATTGAATGAATTCATTGTACATGTGCCGTACCAACCACAAATTTTGGGGGGGCGTTTGACCCCTAAAATCCTCCCCTATATACATCACTGTAATACGGTGATTTCTTTTAATCGTCCAGTTACACTTTGTTTTAAATTAACGGTAAAGTCAGTGTCTTTGAAATATTTAACTTTTTAATTAAAGAAAAATAATTGTTTGTATAAAATACAAAACACCAATTAATATAGAATTAATTAAAATAAAACATGATAATATCGATTATCTGTTATAATTTTATACATGCACTTATGTACTTAATGTATAGTAAAGATTTTCATGTTTGCATGTTGCAGATTTATTCCCATATTGAAATTAATTGAAATGTGCTTCAAGTATCACGGTCCGGGTAATGTTCAACTGAAAAACAAGTACAGATCAGGGCAAGTTTTATTACCCTGATGTGGAAACCGTGCCAGTCCTTCTCAGTCATCGTTACACGCGCCTATTCGTTTCGGTAGTGTACATTTTAATATTCAAACCTAACAATAACGTCGTAGGCTCATTTGACACGCACAATAGCATTGCCCACACTGCGATGCATATACTAAATTTCTTATGGAGAACCTACGCCTGTCGAATCAAAACGTAAGTACACATTGGGCGACGTTGTGTAACCCGGAAAAAGGTTTGTTGTGTTTTTTTTTTTACATTATTGTTACTATTATTATTACTATTTTTTACCTCGGGGGTCACGAAATAGCTTGGGCTCTTTTCAATGGTGATTTGATTTGGGAATGAATAGGGCATGCGCCTGCGGTACCAGTCCAGACCCCGGTCGTAGTTGTCGTCTCTGTCGAAAAAGTGCACTTCGCCGTTTGCCTTTTGTATGGATTTGTGCATGAACAACATCTCCAACAGCGCTCGTGTGCCGCCTTTCCGCACGCCTATAATGATCGCCTGTAAACACAACACATCATATAGAGCAATTGTATGTTTAGTTTTAAGACGTATGAATTCAATGACCAGCGTTAAATAATATATATTAAGAATTATTGTTTTTTTTAAGATTTGATGAATTGATTTAAAAAAAAACGTGGACGTTTTTTCTTAGTGTTTTGTGCCTAATAAGTTTAATATATTATTATGTATAATATTTTAATTGAGGCGTCTGGATTCAATGTTTGAACATTTTCACAGACGACAAATATTTTCTTCAAATGGACGATTTTTGAAACAAACCAAGATTTTGCCAACACAGTTTGAGTTAATTTATAATCTTTATTTGATGTTCAACAATAGCTTTACATATCATGTAATATAGTGTAGCTACTTAAAGAAAAACACGTTTTTTAAATATCTTTTAGCTTGTTTTGAAACTAAACGCCTCAATTATAACCTTACACTTGCATATACATTATAATGAACTTTGTTGCACATAACCTGCATATATTACATGACGTTTAACACCTCACACGCCATAATAATACATTAAAATAGCGTGACTTTGCCGGTGTCGTTTTTCAACACACTAAAGTTTATCATTTGCAAGTAAGAACGCCTTTATATTATGTATAAAATATGATTTATTTAAACGTGTTGGCAACAAGTGGTTTGAAAAAATTCATATTTTCTACCATTTTAGTTTTTTAATGGTCTAATTCAATATGTTATGTGGGCTGGTAATTTTTACAAAATTATAAACTTTAATTCAAAAGTTTATTGAAATTTAAAACAAATAGTTGTTCTTCATTTGTGGATTTTTAAAATATATTTACATAATTATATCTGAGGTAACATCAATTGGGTTATATTAATTAGAATATAAATAAAGAAAAAATTAAAGTTAATTCCTAATTTCTCTAACTTCATTAAATTAATAATGGATATTACTCAAACATAATATTATGTTCAACTATAATAACTGTTTTGATTATGATAAAAATATCTTATTCCTTTAAGTCTTTTAAGGTTTATAATTAATGTTTATTGGTGCAATGATAAAACATCTATTTTTTCTTTACTTTTATTTACTTTATCAGTGTAAGTACTATCCTTAAGCCTCTTATAAAAGTTAAGTAAAGGACAAAATTACATATATTGAACTAACAGAAACTTTAAACAAATATTATTTTTTTAAGTTCAAAACTTTACAGTCCTAGTGCAACTTATTAGCAACGATAATAATATTATAATAAATAACTCAAAGAAAAATAGATTGTAATACGCTAACGTCGTAATACGAATAAAGAAAAACTTTTAATTTAAAGGGATATAATTAAGCTTAAAATGTATTTTCGAATACCTTATGATGAAATGTCTGAAAACCGTTATTTATCATTACATAATTCCAATAGACATAATGTCAATTTGTATTCTGCATTTTTTGCTGATGCACATGTCATTTGTATACAAAATATTATTTTAACGGTACCTAAAAATCTAAAACGTACACGATTTTTATGTTTAGCTATTAAAAATTAAAAAAACTTTAAAAGAAGTGATCGATAAATTATGATTATTTTTTAATTTACTACAGAAATATATTATACAGCCCTTGATGACCTTTGAAAATTCAATTAGTGTATTTTAGTATAATCGGTTTAGAGACGAAAACGTAAAGTAATAGCAAATCGTTGGCTAGTATTATATTATTTAATGTTGGAACACAATTTATATACAATATTATAATCAAATATAGTGTACATGCAAATATAATAATCAAACGATTGCATGTCTCAAATAATCAACCGACTCAAACTATTTTCATAAGTTTTGGTTTTTATCCAATATGTTTGTAAACTACTTAAACGCTTAGAAAATGCGGTAATCGTTAAACTAGTTATGTATATTTTATAGGTTTAAGATATATTGTATTTAATACAAAAGTTAGGGTTTTCCAAATGGCAACTTATGTTTTTTTGATCATTGTTGTTTATTTATATGAATGAAATCATAATTTTTAGTTTAAAATATCAGATTTTTTTGACAACGTTGGATATACTTACTACGCCCATTTTAAAAGACATAGTTTCTCAAAATGTTGCTCTAATTTAAAAAATATATTGTTTTTTTATAACAATATATTGGATTCACCGTTAACGTTAATTTTTATTTTGGTTTAAATTACAGAGACGAATACTTTGGGTATAATAATTATAATCCTAAGAACAATTATGTTTTTTTTAATCATATAATAAGACAAACACGCAAAAAAAGCTAATAAAATACATTTCTTTTAGTTTAACTTCTTATTTCTGGTACAATAATAAAACATGACCAACAAAATATAAACACGAGTTTATATTTTGTTTTATTGTGAAAAATCATGAAACGCGCTACGTTATGTAGAGTACTATTCATATTTTTACGATTTGCAAACTATACGTGATCTGTTTTTATATTTGCACTAAAAGCAATTATTTGTTTTTTTTTTTTTGAATTTACAAGTCCATTTCTGGGGCACCACGTACGCTGTATGCCAAATAAGAACGATTTCCTTTTGCAAAGAGCTTTATGGTTGCCGGTCGACGAGTGTTGTACTTAAAATGGTAACCATATTTAAACACCAGTATCAATATTTGATATTGAGTTAGTTAAAAATTAATACCTATGCACATTTATGGAACAATATAATGTTATAATGTAAAATGTTAATTCTATGATGTTTTTTAAAAATATAAATTATAATGGTCTTAATATACATGAGACATGCCACAAATTCGGCTCCGGATTTTCCTTAGTCTACCTATACAATTTAATAAAAATGTTTAAAAAAAATCATATGTAGGTACTATTATAATAAAATGTATTATCTATAATAGCCCCAAGAACTTTGGGGCTCTCCAAGTAAAGGACAAATAGTGGCCAGTCACAGTTAAAACTCTTCGTCCAAACGCATTTGATGTTTGTAATAAGACATAGTAATATTAATTCATCCATTAGTTCTTTTGAGTATAGTCATTAAAGAAGATTTGCTAATTAAAAATAATCAGCCTGTATTTCATTTTAAGTGTTGTAAAGGCAACACTATTTCTAATGTATGCATTGAGTTATCTAGCGAGTTTCACTTTGAGTATTCTCGGCAGCGACAAAGTATACATATAAAATAAATGTTTAATAAAAAAAAATTATATTTTAAGAGAGAAAATATCAACGGATTTTTTTTAAACTCAATTTATTTGTAGAAAACATATGCTTGTATATTTTGAATATTATATGAGTAAATAGTGGCACGATTCAAGTTGCTTACCTAAAACATAGTTAAGAACAAAATTCGTTTTTAATCACCTATATAAAATGGGTAAATCCTTTCTATTGTGCAAAATTAATCAATCTAACCGTTCTAGGTATTGTAATCTATATGATAAAACAGTTAAACTTTTCGGTTTCATTTATTGAATAAATAAATAAGAGCGGTCGAAATCATAGGCTCGTTAGTATTCAGAATTTATGAAAGGATTTTGGGAATTTACATTTGTTCATTTCAGGTTACCTCAGGAAACAGTTTCCACCTGTTTAAATAACAATTATTCGTTTAATTATTTAATTTGGGCGGCGAAAACTTAATACTCTGATTTATGTTTGAAATAATTTAACTGCGATTTTTTAAATGTTTATGGTTCATTTTGTTTATTATAAGCGTGTGTTCAACTTAATAAAATATTTACCGTGTCTCGTTAGAATATAGAGCGCTTTCGATAAGTTCTAATTCCAACGAACCATTGTAATTATATTCGGATAACCTTTTAGGTTGACACTATAATAGTTTTGTAGCGTTTCTTCACTAGCGACCACTATACGCGGTGATATCTATCCAGTACTGTTCATCTAAAACCTTGTACGAAACACATTTTTCCAACTGTATCGTTACTATATTTTACCATTAGTGGTTAATTTGTAAAAGATATAATTAAAAAATGATAAATTAATTTGATTTATGCGGAATTGGCATGATTTGTAGAACTATAACCATAAAATATGTTTCTTTTTTTGTTGACATTTTCATGTTTTAGCTCTGGCACATAACCGAAAAAAGTGTTACCATAAGTTAATAACGAAAAAAGCTTTACGAAAAAAGCGTTAGGACACGGTGATGGGGTTGGAGGTGGAAATAGAGATGGAGGTGGGAATAGGGTTGTGGTTGGGGGTAAGAGATAGTGGGTAGGAGTTAGGGGTAAGATATAGGAGATAAGAGATATGTTGTACGTTCAACGTTCAAATTAGAACTAAATGATAAATTCAAAATAGTTTAAGGGCCCAAATTCTCTATGAATTGTTTTAAGCCAGATATTAAACACTACAATATTAGCCAGAAACTTGATGTTTTATTATAGTAGCTTGTTACTGCTTATTTATACCTATACTATATCATTTTATCTATAATTCCACCACTACTCTAATATTATTTGGTACTTCAACGAGACATGAAAATGCTCTTTCGTGGTCGCAGACTCGGCTGAAAAACTTTTTAATGTATTACAAGTGTTACCTGTGGCAATCTCCTGCTCGTCTTGGGAAACCTGAGCTTTCGATAAGTCCGGTCGTCCGATGTGGTACGACTCAGTGTAGACGTATCTTCGCCGACGGTCTGATCGTCCAACGATGACAGTCCTCCAATTGGGCCTATGTAAATGTGCACACTGCCCAGTAGGAACAGCACAATTACAAAAAGAACCAACTGGGACCATTGGACGTTCGGAAAACACCATCTTCGCATTACGATTTGTACATCTAAAACAACAATACAAAACATATATTAAACTGTAGCGCATGGGTGATAAATTTGGTTTAATGTTTTATTTTAACCAATTAAGTTTACCGATTCATAATTGTTTCAGACAACTTATCATATTACAATAACCTATTATTAACAATTATACGACGGTTACCGTCGAAATATCATCAGAAGCTTTAATCCTATAGAAATTAGTTGATACTATAGCTAAAATGATTTCACTGCTTCACATTATCAAAACTTAAAGATGTTTCGAAACGGATACGGATTAGGGTCACTTCAGTCTCTAGGGGTTCGTGGTAATTACAACCGGCTCGGTTCCCGAAACTTGATACCGACAAGCATGGGAAATTTCTAGTGTAAAAGTGATTGGTGCCCAGTGGACCAAACACGAATCGATCACTATCTTCGTGAGCGGTAAGCCTGAGTTTCACAACGGGTCGAGTTTGTGTAAACAATAATAATTGTTATTTGTTTAAATTAGTAACGAGGATGTTCAACAAAGTACAAAAACTTCTATCGTTTGCATTTCAAATGAGAAAATAAAGTATTTTGGATCTAATTGGAATTCCCAGTCTTCCTAAAAAACATCAATGTAAATATATATATTTATTTAAACGCATAACTTACCAATGCTTAATTTTATTAATGCGTTCCTTTCGGATGTAATTGAATAATGAAATTCATTTCACGTAATGCGTTTATATTATATTAACATAACGACTACTGTCTGTATTTTATTTTTCTGTCAAAGAGAATTGATTAATTCAAGCGTGTTTGCATATTTAAATATCTAATGACATAAATCAAATAGTAGTTTGGAAGAAATTAAATGCTCTGAACTGATATATTATTATTATGTGTGCCTGGATAAATTATTAATGGTGCGGCAAAATTAAACTTATTGATCTCACAAATATATACATAATACACATAAATGTTTGCTATAAAGCATTTCAGCGTAGATATATTATATATTTGGTAAAGTTAATTGTCTATTTGTTTTTATATTATTTATTGATTTTGCGCTATAAATGGAGATCCGCACATGTGGCTCAAAGTGTCATTATTCATAATTAAAAAATGTGTTACTAACAATAGATTATTTTTTCATACAAAAAAATATTTAACTCTTTAAATAAATACGGTAAATTGTACAGAGGGATTTTTTTTATCACGGGCCAGTCATTATCTCACTGAGTTTAATTAATTATCGAATTTTTTTTAATTATAGTGTTTTTATACTACGTGATCTCAATTTTTCAAATTTTTTTGGGGGTTTTACCCCCCTTTCCAAATAAGTTTTTTTTAATATTTAGTATTTACATTCAACTTATGACATCAAACTAATTCGAATTAATTTATTTATGTTTTATTATTTGAAAGTCATCTAAAGAGAACCCATACACAATAATAAATCATTTAATTTATTTTACTCTTGCGGTATGATTACCGTTCCATGCCTTTACTTTAATATGATTTAAAAAAATAATAAAACATTGTGAACAATTTAGTCATGTTCAGTTTACATTTCATTGTTTTTGAAAACAATTCCAGGTTTGAATATTGAGCTGCCACTAATCAACCGATCTGCTTAAATTATTTTAAAGTAAATCAATAAACATTAATTGTCCAAAAGTAGGTAATTAGTCAGGGTTTTGTTTTAAGTTGTAGATAAGAAATATATGAGAAAAACATGTTTTGTAATTAATACATTTTATTATAAAATACAGTATAACTGTGTATTACCTACTTACAATGACAGTAATCATTGTGTCGCAAACAATTATTGATAAATTAAAATAGTAACAAAAATGAAAAATGGGACCACAAAAACCGTATATTTACATTAAAAATTGATTAGCATTTTATAAAATCTTGTATCGATTCAATATATCATAACTCTATAGTCATACTATAAACTATATAGTCATAACTTAACAAAAAATTCTACGTACAAATTTAATTTCAAACATATAAGTAATTTGGCAATTTTTGGATTTATATTTATTAATCTTGAGCTTTGTTTTTAAAGTAGTTAATTTATATTAAATATTTTGCAATCGTACAAACTGATATAGGTAGTTCAATAATGTTTGTGAAAACATCGAAGCTAGAAAAAACAATTTTTTTTTATAAAATGTGTCCTAGAAATAATAATAAAGTTATATATTTTGATGAATATTAATTAAAGGGAACTCAAAGCATGACGAGAAAGTTTTATAGATGCAGAATTGATTTGTTCGCACTGATGTGAATAAACTTTTCGAATTATTCATTTTCATTAGTTATCATCGCTATGCATTCACCGCTCTACACACAACATGCATCCTGGGGTAATGACCTAGTTTTAACTGTTATCGACCTACTGCCTATACAAATAAATGCAAATTAGTTATACAGGGTTTTAACATTTTATGGTACAATAAATAATAAACAATTTCTATTTGCTTGGGGAATACGAATAAGAGATGGCAATGTTTTTAGAATTTATTAGTTCAAAAACAGCATAATAAACATTAAACTTTATAGAAGTAAATAACACGGAGATAGTAAAAAAAAAAAACAAAGAAAAAGTAGATTTACAATATTCAAAAATAAGCATAAGTTCAATGTGGCTTCTTTTTTAATAGATGATAACATATTTACTATTGTTTCTATTAAACGTTTAACACATTTATTATATTTTTTTTTCAACAACATAATTGTTTAAAACAGTAACAAATAAACTGTCGTTAAAGAATTATAAATAAAGAAAAGTTAAGTTATTTTATTTAGAAATATATTTAGAAAAATCTAAAACAAGTTCAATAAATAAATCACTTAAATAAATGTATAGCATCAATCTATACATATAAAAAATAGTGTAGTTGTGTATTTATTTATTTATTTGCTTTACAGACATCCAAACTACTGCGCATATTTTAATCAAACTTGGCACAAATATTATTTGAATTCTTTTAAGTGCTAGTGATAGTAAAAATCTATCTCCGTTGCCCTTGGACCCCTCGAGACTAAAAAAACACCCTAAAAAATAAATCATGTGAGATAATCCAAACTATTTTATCTTAGTCATTTAATAAAACTCTGTATAATGTTTATGGTATTAAATTAATGATTTAGCTTAGGTTAGTTTATCACTAAAATAAGTCACAACAAAATTATATCTGTTTTGTTGAATTTCAAATGCGTGTAAAAACTATAAAAACTTCTAATGTTTAAGCTATAACAAGACAAGTAGACTATACGTTACACTTTGGTCGTAAATAAATTATAAAACTGATTGTGGATTTATTTTCGGTTAAACGAAACTATATTCAAAACTGATAACGTTACCGATAATACACAGGATACGGGAATGGAAACGATTTCGTTAGCCATGTGTTCGGAAACGTATTCAACCCTTGGACACGTGGTATGCCGACTAGTTACTACGTTTACAGATCGATAGCTAACATATACATGACAGCTAGACATATATCAGATTAGGTTGTTATTATTTTTTTTTTTGTAAAATAACAAAAATATTTCGTCAGGAGTTTATAAATTTTAGTTGTACGCGATATGTATTGAACGGAATGTGCGCGGCGTCGTATTCATTGTAATTTTTTTTTCAGCGAGTCGAGATAGCCGCCTAAATGGTTTGGATACAACAACCGTCTACAATTCAATGTTATTGAGAGCGAAAAATTGATTAGATCAAACGGCGGAACAGATAGGCAATCTCGGTACGCCGCTGCAGTGCGATCGCGGTTCGATCGTGTGTTGTCGTCGAGCGGTTATCAGCTTATTAACGCTTATCACGGTTGTTGGCTCTAACGCAGCGGGGTGTACTAACACGGGAAAACGAAAACGGCGTTTATATGTGTTTAAAGCATTTTTATTATTTACCTGGTGCATAATTCCGGGCGGCGTGATCATTGCCGTCGGCGGTGGCTCTAAGGGTAGAAAAAAAAGGGACGCGTTGGTAATGGCGGCGGCGGAGGCGGTGGAGGCGGCAGCAGCACAGGACTTGGCCGGGCGAGCCGATTGAACGCACTGAACGGGCCAGGGCCATCGAGAACCGCGCGCATACCGCCAAGTCTACTGGCGGCGTCGGGTGCAACCGCTGTTGATTTTCCCTGAAAAAAAAAAATATATAAATAAGAAAATACCGACGGGCCCGACGACACGGCCGTTATCGCAATGTCGTCCTGTTATTATTATTATTATTATTATTGCCATTTGTAAGCCCGTTGAATGCATAAGCGCTAGACGGAATATCACAGTTGCGTAACGTACAAACATCCGGTAAAAAATAACCGAGGAAAATTGTATAAATTGTATTTTTACAATATGAAAAGTTCTTCAGCCGAGTCTGCAACCACGAAAGAGTATTTTCATGTCTCGGTGAAGTACCAAATAAATTTAGAGTAGTGGGGGAATTATAGATAAAATGATATAGTATAGGTATAAATAAGCAGTAACAAGCTACTATAATAAAACATCAAGTTTCTGGCTAATATTGTAGTGTTTAATATTGGCTTAAAACAATTCATAGAGAATTTGGGCCCTTAAACTATTTTGAATTTATCATTTAGTTCTAATTTGAACGTTGAACGTACAACATATCTCTTATCTCCTATATCTTACCCCTAACTCCTACCCACTACCTCTTACCCCCCTATCTTCTACCCTAACCTCATCTTCATCCCAATTTCCACCCCCAACCCCATCTCCGTGTGGTAACGTTTTTTTCGGTTATGTTCCAGAGCTAAGACATGAAAATGTCAAAAAAATATTGACGTTGACATCAATCTTTAAAATAACCGAGGAGAGTCATAACAAAATTATAATTATAATTAAAATATATTTTTCTATTTAATACTTATTTAGCGAATGTTTTACAGACTTTAGAAAGTTTTCAATAGTTCTTGTCACGACGATGTGGTTAGTTTTGTCTATTAAATTATTTAACACACCTTCCCAGCAAAAACTTTTCTGACTAAATTTCGTACACCGCGCACTTATTGCATGTTTTTAATCCATGATGCATAATGTACATGTAAACATTGTACTACAATTTCTCCTTTCCTTTTTTCGACAATATAAACTTTATTTTGATTATTTAAAAAAATGAAATTACAAAAAAAACATCTATTTGATATTATCAAATAGACAAAGATATAATGGATACAATGTATTTTTTTATCGATTATTTATACTTAACCAAACATATCCATTCAGTTTTTCCTCCCAATTTTTATTCCGGTTACAAGATATCATATAAGGACTAACTTTCAATCAATATTGGCCCACATAGACCACCATTATCCTGTGGTATCATATAATGTGTATCGTTTGATATTCACAAACGCTAAAAAAACCATCGTTCATTTTGTATGTATATGAGCATATGCTTTGTATGCTTAAATCAATAGCCTTTTTTGAAAATTATAGTGCTGTTTTCCACAAAATATATTTTTACGTCATGTATTACGAGTTATAGCATTAATGCTAGTTTTTATTTATTTTCTTCTGAAATAGAAAGATATTGGAAAATTACCTAGTGCAACCCAGTCTTTATTGGAGTATTAACATAATAACATTACATACATTTTACATAATAATATTTAGGCATGCCTTTGACGTTTATTAGTGTATTACAGGTTTGACATAGGTAATATCATATTGTATTGTGTCACCCATACAGCAATTTAGAAATACAAATAAGTACTTCATACATATTTTGTAACAAATTTAACAAGTATTAAGTTCATTATTATTTGATTTGATTTCTTGCAGAAATAAGATGGAAAACGTGTTGGCCATATTTTTAGTAAAACGTCACTTTTATGTATTATATTTTTCATTGAAATATTATTGTTGTATGGAAAAGGTGGCAAGGAGTATAAATGCCTGTGGCCGGTTCGAGCCCGGGTCACCCGGGTCTTCGCTTTTCATAATGTTCTGTCAATGTTTGTCTGCGTTTTTGGTTTTCAGTATATTGTTTTATGTCTTACCTATATCGACGTGTTATAACTACAGTGAAATATTATACGGAAAAAATGTAGTATAGCATATTATGTTGTATAAGACAGCGTTCATATTATAGTCTTTGGAGTCTGCGAATATGCGGTAAACAGTGGATATTTGTGACCTACATTACAACGCATTCGGCACTTAAAAAGAAAATACATATTATCTGATAAAAAACTACAAAATCAATATGCCTACTATTGTTGAAGTCAAAAAACAGTAGGGACAGTTAAATTAAAACTATACTTTTATTAGCGTGTGTCTTGAACTGACATTTTCGTTTGTTAAATACAGTTGTAATTGTAGTTGGCCCTATTCAATTGTTTAGCTCTTTATTAATTGTAAATTAATCAACGATTAAAGTTTGTAAAAAATCAAAAAGGCCAAATAAAAATTCCACTAGATTACACCTATATGTTAGAACCTATTATTAGTGTAATGCGAATGCTATAAATAATTAATGCAAACCCGTTATTTGATGCCATGTACAACATTTAGTTTGATATATTTGCATGCGCTATCTTTTATGCATATCGTGTTTATTTAACGAGTCAGCTGCGGTACAATGCAGCTGTATAAATTAACAAATAGCTTAAGAAAACAGCATAAAACATTGTGTTCTTATAATAATATTATTATTCGCCTTTTTACGCGAAAAAAAAAACAACCATAGTATAGAAAACAAAAACAAATAACTAATAGTTCAATAACACTAATTATTAACATTTTAATCCATTACAGCGGTAGAATCCAATCCAAAATGTTAAACGTTAACAACGAGCAATTGAAGTTTCGAAACTTAAAATCTGAACTTACCGAAACTCTCTGAAACCATACATTCAACCGCGGTTATGTTTTTCGACTAATATTCACGAGTACCTACTTAAAAAATTAAAACATATTTTGTACTATTTTCGCTTTAGTGTTGGCGTAGAACTTAAAGCCCTTAATTCGCAGCTATTTAAAAATATATAAAATGTTGATAATTGCCAATGATCAATGAATTATAATTGAATCGGTCATTTCAAAAACCACATAAGTCAACTTTTTTTCAAAATGGCTTTTTTGGCCGCAAACTATTGCTTTAGGTAGACCTATAATCCATGTTAAAACAACATTAGTCAGGTAATTCCTTCTCCATTTTACAGCGCCCTCTTAATAACGTTCATTGGTAAAACAACCTAAGTCAATGACTAATGTGGTTTTTACATGCATCGCAAGTTAGCGCGCACACAAACATGTCAGATTAGCACCATAAAGAAGACTCAAGCGTCTGTTCTGTGAGGTTCTGTGATTTAGATTAAATTGTTTGTTTACGTTTGTTCCATAATAAATTTTGATAAATTAAAATTTTTAAGGAGTATCTTCAATATTTTCATTAAATGTATGACTATTATCCTCATTTTGTTCATTTTATATACACCTTAACTCCGTTTCTTGCTAAAACAACATAAGTCAAGCTCAGTTTTTCTGGGTTTTCTCTTTTAATTTTCCATGATTTGTGATTTTTTATTTTTATTTCAGCGTATTTAGGTCTAGTTGTTACATTTAGCTGAAAAAAATTCTTAAAAATTCGTTAAGGTGTGAGTAGCACAGTTTTTATTGCCTCCTGCAAATTTTTAAATTGGTGACAGGTGGTTTTTGAAATGACCGATTCAATTATTAGAAACCCTTTCAATTTATGAAAGATACGTCAACGTAAAGAACTCAGAAAGATTACATTTTTTGGTTTTGACACTAGAAAATAGACAATTATTTTTGTTTTGGTCTTTAATTATCCAGGTCCAAATAAAACGTTTTCTGTGTAACTATGTTTAGGTTAGAGAAATATTTTAAAACGTGTTTTTGTGCGCTGTTGTAACGCGGTAAAACAGTTTATTATCAATTAATAATTTTAATAAATTAGTGTTACTTTTTTGTAGTAGTCGTAAAGTTTTAAAATTTTGGTAAACCAAAGAAAACAATATTTTACGTCGTAGGTTATCGTTTTTTATTAGTATATCTATTAACTTAATTTTGATTAATTATATCAAATTCGCTTATAATTATCGGTTTTTAATTATATGAAAGAAAAAACGTATTTTATCACAGTATTCAAAATAGACCTACTGCGTGTAGGTCGTACAATACTGATTTTAAGTGCTATTAAAATTTTAAGATTTTACCACCACTATAGACAAAAGAGGACGATTTATCGCTGACCAATAATAATGAAGAAAAACGTTGGAACGCATTTTTAAGATCTAATACAAATGTTTTACCCATAACGACTCTTCACTACTATAATATAAAAAAAAGAACTATAAAAAAGTTGTTTTTTTTTTTTTTTAATGACTAACTTTTCAAAAAAAATTTCTTTTAAAAAAACGCACCGTCTTGCCCACCGGAATATTTTTCTCTTATAATTTAATAATGAGTGCTTTTACTCTAAAACTAAAATTAAGCGAGTTATTTTCAGTCTGCTTAAACATGTTTTTACCACTGAAAATCACCGGTGCGACGCCATCTTAAGTCTTAAAGCCCGGACAAAATTACGTCTACTTAAGATTGTCCGATCTGAATTGTGTGAAAAAATTCGAGTTGTCCGACTACTTTACTAGGTTATGTAGGAAACCGAATTTGGTTTTGGCGCGGTCCGGCCGAGCGGCCGTTTCGCTTGGACGCGCTTACGTCGGTTGTGCTCACGTGGACTCACGCGATTGTGCGGCATCGGTGTGTCAGTGTACACAATCGATACGGCTCGAGCTCAAATCGTGGAAGGGTACGCTCGGGGTGACGTCACGGGACGGAGAAGGTAGCGCGATGGTTTCCCGCTAAAATAATACCGCTTCGCCCGCTAACGGCTACGCTTATTACTCTACGCTACACAGTACACTACGCACGCCGCGTCCTTGTATAATAGGTGTACGTTACTACTATAAACGACGCCGTGTCTGGGAGTCCTTCTGCCACGGCAAGCCGCTCAAACACTTCTCTCTGCCTTTCAATTTAATGATCGATAGCGTCCTGATGACAGTCGGCCTCCGGACGTCCACGTGCGACTTGCGAACCGTAGTAATGATAATAGTTTTTTATACGCTTGTCGGCCTGAAAACGCCGCTAGTTTTACACACACACACAATCATGACGTTATACGTTAGCGATCGAAAGAGGGTGGCACGGGACACGGTGTAAGCCGTATGGAGTAGCGTAGGCGTAGCTATTGTTGTTTACTTCGCAAAGCGGACCACGTGTAAAGAAAACGCTTCGATGTGAGTAAAGAGGTGCATGTAATTACAAAAAAAAAAAAAATTATTTTTACTGTATAGCGGCGTAGGGAAAAAAAAGCTTCTGTCAAGGGTTTTTTTTATCGTACTCGTACCACGGCATTTAATTGAGTACACAGCTTTATAAAAGGGATGCGTTCCTCCTTAAGAGCTTAGCTTTTGAGTCCCTCCACATAATAATAGTATATGTTTAGAAATATTGTGTAATAAGTTATCAGTATAAGATTATGATTTTTTATCAATTAATTTTAAATTTTAATTACTTATTGTTACTGAATTGCCTGGATCTGGGTTGTTGTAAAAAAATAATAATAATAACAACAGTACCAATCTACATTTAAAATCGGTAACATAATAAAAAAATATGAGAGGTTGCTTTAAAATTTTATTAAAACTTTACACTTAAAAGTTCTATCTAATCAATATTTTGTTTATAATCATTCTGAATTTAGGTGCACTATTTCAAAAAGTATTAGCGTTTTAGCGACTGAGGTTATTTCCCACAAAAATAATCATGTGTTAGGTATAATACCAAAATATATATTACTGAGAAAGAATAACAATTAATCGAATGTCCATTAATTGAATATATACAAATGATACAGTCATGCATTGTATGTTGATATGTAAACATTTACACATATATACAACCTGACAATTCTATGCTACAATTAAGTTTTGTAAAGTTAAGTAATAAAAGCCTCTGTTTCTGTCTCCTACGACTATCACACGCAAGTTGTATATGTTTTGTTTAAAATTTGTTTCAACAAATTTGTCCAAACTAAATATATTTAATTTAATTATTGTTTTCACATTTTTACACGTTAAATAAGTGGATAGCATGGATAGTGTTAATGACATGAAGTTATGTGAAATGTACAAATAGTGACGGTTAGAGATACAGTCACTTCAAAACCACAAAATGATAATAATTACGACAAAAAGTAATTTCGTGAATACTTATTAGTACACAATAACCAAGTATTGGTAATTATGATATTAGGTGTATTTTTCAACTCTACATGGACATCGAAAATGTACTTTTGGTTTTGTATTTACATAAAAGAGCGGGGTGTAAAATTCCCATTGGCCCTCTCGCCATTATACGCCTATGATAAATCTTATATCTGCTAATCCATAAAAAAAATCTACCATTTTTACAGTACTGGACCAACATAATATTGTAACGTCGTGCTACGTTAGTTGGCTACACTGCAACTCTGCTCGAAGTGCACTTGTGTTATCAGTTGTACTTTTTATCGAACTCCAATGCATCGCTGTCGTCGTGATAAGTGATAACTGAGTTGCGCGTTTGTTTACATTGTTTTGTTTGAATTTTCCGTAACAATTTTCGTTATTCGTACGAACTACAAACATTTCGTTGAACCATTAATTTATTGTATCCGTACTGCTTTGTTAACTACATATTTTTCAATTCAATACTGTGCAAATGTGTACATCATCGTTGCCGTTTCAAATGATTTACATGTCATTGAAATAATAATTATATTTTTATTCACCACGTCTACATTACTATATCTAGCCCAAAGAAAATAAGAAGTACCGCCGGACCATTATTCCATAGTGAGTGTTGTTCTAATGCATAAAAACATTTCTAAATATTATATCTCAATTATACATTTTTACTTTATAGGATAATTAACACACCACTGATTATTACAAGCAATGATTGCTATTTTTAAAAAATGGAACGAATCTTGACAAAAATCAAATACAGACTCCAGGTGAGTCCATAGTTAATTATTTTTTCATTGCACAGCACAGTGACAGCATTAGTCGTTTAAGATAAATGTATATTTATGTTTTATGTACACTTATAAAATGACTTGCCTGTAATATTAGTGATATTGTGAGTACTTTACAATACTAGTTGATTACTCTCTAATAAGCTTTTGCTTGTTAATTAAATATTAACATTTACTTTCAACCTTAGTTATTATCACCTGATTGAAATACCATGACTTTCAGTGACCGTCAGACGTAAAAGAAAAACTATACAAAGATTAGTAATCTATAGACTAATAATATCATGGACAAAAATGCAAGCATTTAATTATTATTAAAAATGTAGTAAAATGTTTAATGTAAATAAATTCTGTAAGGTGACTTATGCAAAGTCAAAAAAATATTATATTCATTTTTTTAGGTTTGATCTAGAAAATAATCCACCAAATATGTAGGCTAAATGAAGGGTCCAGAGCAAGAACCAGTTATCCCCACTTTTTATAAAAAATTGTTTTTTTATGGGAAGATGTTCGTGGAAAAATGATTTACCTTTTCATGCAACAAGCAATAAAATCAAACAATTACCTACAAAGATATTATAAAACGCATTTTTTCCCGCCAATGGTGGTAAATGGGACAATGGATTTTCTTTTGGCTTTCCTGAACAATTTCAAAATATGGAAATACCTGGTTCTTGCTCTGGACTCTTCAAATATATAATTATAAAAATGATTTGTGTCTTGAGTGTTTGTCGAAAACTAGAAAATGTAATTATTAAAACATTTTAATAATGTAGGGCTTCGTAGATGTTCAATTGAACTTATAGGTTAGGTAACCTCATTAATTACAACTTAATATCAGGTTGGAAAGAGAATTATTTCAATATAAAACGGAGTGAATTATGTGAAGGAAATTAATCATACATTTAATTAACCAAAAACAGAAGTTAAGAAAAATTGTTTTGTTTTATTTTATATTGTAATGGTAGGATTGGTCATCGCATAAGTATGATACAACTGTTTTTGGTTGTTGAAGTGTCAATTCAGTTCTAGTTTTAAACTTAATCAGTCTTTAAATTGTATTGTTTTAATTTTTGTCAGTTTTAAAAAGTGCTTGTTTAGTTATGAATGTGCGTCATGTGTTAATTAATATTTACTATTATCAATTCTACAGTCGTATTCCAAGCCGAACGCTACTAATGTAATATAAATGCTGAAATACAAAAATTTGGTAAGCTGCCATGACAATATTATTTTAAAGTTAAATAAATCTATTTAAACTCATTTAAAATCTAATTTCATTAATAAATATTTTTTAACGCATGTAAATTAAAAATTTAAACACAGTCCAAATATTTTATTCATATAATATTTTATCTATAAATGTATAGTATGATGCTGTCAGAGATTTCTTTTTTTTTAACATTTAATTTTCATCGTTGGAATTAAAATTAAAAAATAAATCCTGTAATATCCTGTAATATATAAATTCTGTAATAAATCCTGTGTATCCGTTGTCACATTTTTCAGAATGAATTGTATGATTTATAGTTTATACTAATATTCATCATTTTCTAATATTGTTAAGTTACTAATAAAACACTTATGCACCTAGTTGAAAAATTTGTATTTTTATTATATTAAATAGTAATCAAATGATATTATAATAAAACATTATTTCTCTTTTTCTAGATTTTCTCAAGATGTTGTGCTTCTGGCTGCTATCACGAAAACATATTATTCTATTATCGGTTCAATAATCAATGTACAAAGACCGATGACAACATGACACTTTGCTGCAATATCAGTACATGTTAACAAAATAAGAATTAATTTAAGTTTAATTATTATTATAGTATATATATTATTCTAATCTTTGATAATATGACACTTATTAATAATAAGATATTGGACAAGAGTTAAATTAATTTGAAGTATTAACTACAAATTTAAATTCAATACCTAAACAATAAACCGTTTTAAAAAAAAATTGTAAAATTTGGTTAAATGTCAACAACAGGTTTTATATTATTTATATGCACTTTTTAAATTATTTAAGTTATTCATTAATTTATTTATTTGAGGCAGTGCACTATCGGCCATTAATATCAAATTTCAATAAAACAATTGTATAGACTTTGCTCTAGTCAAGTTGAAAATTAATATTTCAACTAATAGGTTGTTGCATCAGATACATTTTGTATAATATCTTTAACTCGAAAAGGTGTTACGTCTTGTTAAAGAAAATAAAAAAGCTTACCAGATATAACAATTATTTTATTTATATTCCATTAACTGTGTATGTATAATAGTTTTATTTTATTTATTATTACTATTATTATTATTTTTTACTTTTTTTTTTATTTATGAAGTAATTTAATTTAATTAGTCGTCAATATATAGTACTTTTCTGTATTTAATGCTTGAAATAACCATTTATTTTAGTGGATGTTTTAAATATTGCTTAGAAATACTGTTTTAAGACAAGGTAATTTTACGTGTTTTAAAAAAATTATTTTTGTTTTGTTTTATGTGGTCATTCTGCCTCAGAAATATTTATTTATGTTACAGTTCAGTTATGAAAAAATATTATTTATATGATAAAACTATCACATATTTATCATAATTATTGAGAATTAACATACGTGTAAATTGGCTGCAACTAAAAATTATATTTGGTTAAAAAAGTCTTAATAATATTTCAAGGCAAAGTTAAACTTTACGTCATAAACTTAAAATTACCATTCTTATAAGAGTGAAAAAAATTATTCAGTAATTTTAAAAAGGTTTTTTTCATTTTTCACTGTTCTATTAGTTAACAATTTAAATGATATTTCCTGATTTTTTTGTACTTAAGATTTAACATTTCAATACTTTGAACTATTGTGATAAATTGAAGATAATAATTGTTCCGTTATTAAAAACCCCAGGTACTTTTTTAATAAATCTAAAAAAATTGTTTGGGCTGCAGTGACAGTATCTATAGATCATAATAGTTTTAGAAAGTATTACAAAAATAAAAAAATACAGAAGTATTTCTGTATCATTTTGTCGCTTTAATCATAATTATTTAGCTATGACATTTACAATGTAATTTTTGCCTTAAATAAAAGTTTTTAAAATAATTACATTATATACAATAATATATCTTTCAAATTTCAATATATATCTACCATTAATACTGGCAGAACAGAAAACTAGTTAATTTGTAAAAAAACATTTTTAAAATTATTATTATGTCTCTGTTGTTAACAAACACGACTGGACTACTGACTATCTATGTTGGAAAGATTAATTATATTATTTTATACATTATTTAGTAAGTAATTTGTATTAATGTAACTTTCCACAAAGTTAATTTATTAGTAAAAACTTAAGTGGCGGTTTACTGGGTCCATACAAAAAATCCGGTTCATCGTAACAAATAACAATAACATCAGCCAAGTACTGGTCGATTTCATTTTTCATATACTTCATTAACATTTTATTGGACGGATATTATTGGAACTTATTATTAAAATGTCTTTTGGTATTAACGAAATTTGTGTATTTATCATGTGGTGATATAACGCAATGGTGACTCATAAAGATATTAATGTCGGTGTGTTTAACATATTATGCTAGTTTATATACTCATGTATCTTATTGCATGGTCTACTTTGTTTATTATACAGGGTGATTGGTTCACTACGACCCATTCAATATCTTAAAAAAACTAGACATTTTAAATTAACTATTTTAATGTAGTATTGTTTTTATCTGCACGCGTAACTTAACCACCATCTACCTCCCGTACTAAATATTAAAAAAATATTAATTAAAAATTTCGCTGTTTGTAGGCGAGATCGGCTCAAGTACCGCTAGGGCGGAAGTTCTGACTTCTTCCATTCTCCCTTCTGTTTTTTTTAATGTCTTTATTTTCTATGCCGTCTATCCTAAATGAGAGACCAACACATTTTGTATTTTAATGGGATTTGATTTTTTCATGTCCATGTATAGCCATCCTGGATGAAGATCTAAAATGTTGAGTATATTAACAGCGTCGTATTTTTTTTTGTGCTTAGCAACTTGTTCATTCTTATCGACAGAAATAACAGTCCGACTGTTAACCACGATCAAGATTAGAATTAAACTAAGTATGTTTAAACAATAATAGTTATAACAGTGACTTCATTAGTTCAATTAGACGTTGACTGCATAAGTATGTTACAGTGCAAGTAGTATACATACTATGATAAAGTACCTACAAGTATATGAATGTGTTAGTTTTTGAAAATGTTCTTAAAGGGTATTTAATTTTTTTGTTGAAACAAAAACGTTTTATCTCTTGCTAGAATGTTATTTACTTCTCACTTGTTTTACATAATTTCTTAACGTACGATCTGATAATATGCATTTATTTATTTACTAAATTTAATTTACGGGCATATACATAAAGACAAGATGGCTGTGGTTGCAGTAATAAGGGTGAAACAAGCTTAGGGACATTATAGCCTGTGGAGAGTTGTCAGAAAGGAAGATTATAAGTGACAAAACTGAAAAAGTTCTTTTGGGTTCTTTCAATCATGGTCTTATGGTTGAAGCAGTAGAAAAATACTATGAAACAATGATTTGTTAATAGGTGTTTATTTTAACGATTCAAACAATATTTGAAATATTGTTAATAGTTCTCTAGATTTTTTACCTTAAAAATAAAAAATAAAGAGAATAAAGAAAAATATTTTTATTGCGAGAAAGAATATTATACCTACCCATGAGGTAGGTAGTCATAAAATAATGTAAAATAAAACGTCTTCGTTTTTGACGTACCTAAAGTATTTTATAGAAACCGTACTCATTTAAATTTAAAATAATGTACAACATAACAAGGCGGCCTTAGTATAACATTATGGAGTCGATAAAGTGTATTATAATATTTATAAGTTTAAATAAAAAGAGTACCTTACCGTTCGTCGCGTTTTTTGCCCAGTAAAACTTGGAAGAAATTGAACTTTTGTGGT